GGCGCTGCTCCGCGCCTTCCTGCGGCGCGGGTACCGCCTCCTCGACACCGCTTACATGTACGCGGGTGGCGAGTCCGAGCGCATCCTGGGCACGCTGCTGGCTGGCGGCACGGAGCCCGGTACGGTCGCAGGGGGGCTGGGGCGGGGCGGTCTCTGGGGAGAGGGGTCTTCTCCCCAGGCCTGTTCTCTGAGGAGAAAGGTCTTCCCCGCCAGGCTGAGCCCATCCCTGAGGAGAAGGGTCTTCCCCCAGGCCTGTTCCCTGAGGAGAAAGGTCTTCCCTGCCAGGCTGACTTGTTCCCTGAGAAAGGTCTTCTCCGGCAGGCTGAGCCCATCCCTGAGGAGGTCTCCCCCCAGGCCTGTTCCCTGAGGAGAAAGGTCTTCCCTGCCAGGCTGACCTGTTCCCTGAGAAGGGTCTTCCCCGGCAGGCTGAGCCCATCCCTGAGGAGAAGGGTCTCTGCTACTAGTGCTGACCCCTGGGCCTTCAGAAGGGCCTCCTTCTCTCGGGCTGACCCGCAGTCCCTAAGGAGAAGATTCTCCCCAGCTAGGCAGACATGGTTCCTGAGGAGAGGGGCCTTCCCTGAAAGACCTAAAGCAACGCTTCCGTTATTCCCCTTTGCCCCATTCCCTTCCTGAACATTCCTGCTCATTTTTTCTTTCTCTCTGCCAGTGGAAGTCGCCACCAAGGCCAATCCCTGGGATGGGAAGACGCTAAAGCCTGAGAGTGTGCGATCGCAGCTGAACACATCCCTGGAGAGACTGAAGAGGGCGAGTGTGGAGCTCTTCTACCTCCACGCTCCTGACCATGGCACCCCGGTGGAGGAGACACTGCGTGCCTGCAATGAGCTGCACAAAGAAGTAAAGTGAGAAGTCCAAGCCTGGACCATCTCTTGATTCCTTCCCACCACCTTTTTAAACCAGGGCTGCTTGCTCTGCCCTTCTGCAGCACCGGGTTTGTGCAACACTAGGAAGAGGGAACACAGATGATCAGGGCAGAGCCAAACAACTGACACTCTGTTGCGTGTTCATGGGATGCACTTTGTTCTCTGAAGCTCTTGGAAATGTTAGGACATCTGAACTTTGCTTTCAGCCATGTTAACTGACTAGGTTAAGATTAGTGCTGGTAAAGGGTGAAGAATTCCTGATTGGCATCAATCTAATAGTGCCATTTCATTTGAACATAAAACAGGAAATATTTTTGTCAGGTCCTATAGTCATCTAGAAGAGGTGGACAGGGATGAGATGGACTAAAATTTGGCAACTGTCTAGTTACAAATGCACTTTTAAAATCTGGAACTTAATACCCTTTTATTTCTCTGCAGGGAAAGTTTAAAGAACTTGGTCTGTCAAACTATGCAGCGTGGGAGGTTGCAGAAATCTGCACCATCTGCAAATACAACAACTGGGTGATGCCAACTGTGTACCAGGTGAGGGATGGGGGCTTGCCATGATCCAGCACATCTTTTGTGGAGGTTACAAAGAATCAAACCGAAAGAAGATGAAGGTTCAGATCAGACAGCATATGGATGGTTCTGTGTCCTTACAGCAGTGGTCAGTTGCTGTGGGGAAGGGTCTGGGAGCCCCAGATCATGAAACAGCCCCTAGTGTGCCAGATACAAACACAGAAAAGGAAGTTGCTGCATTGGAAGTCCTTTCAGGACACATGTGACTCGAAAGCTGAGTGAAGTCACTTCTTGGAAAAAGCTGAGTACGCATTTGTTGCTTGAGTCAGTGACTCCCTTGATGTGGAACTTAAAGTTTTTGCATTATTTGCAATCCTTTAGAAAGCAGATAATAACCTTTCATGACCTGAAGCTGCTCTTCTGGATAAGAGTACTCTCAGGGAAGGGTAGGGAAAGGGCTGTTCCAAGTGCTCATGCTCCCTCTCCTGAGCTAGTGTTTGAGGTTCTTTGTCTCCTTCATCTTCGTGCAGGGTATGTACAATGCGACCACTCGCCAGGTGGAAGCTGAGCTGTTCCCGTGCCTGCGATACTACGGACTGCGGTTCTATGCCTACAACCCACTTGCAGGTACAGGGAGGGAAAGGACAAGACTTTGAGACAAAAACATGCAAAATGGGGCTGTAGAAGAGCCAACCCATCCCTAAACATGGTGCTGCCCCTTTGCAGGAGGGCTGCTGACCGGCAAATACAAGTATGAGGACAAAGACACACGCCAGCCCACTGGAAGATTTTTTGGGAATGACTGGGCTCAAGCCTACAGGGACAGGTTTGTTTTGAGCTGATAGAAGAGGAGGGAGACGCAGCAGGAATGGCTACATAAAAAACCCCCACACTAATAATTGACATAGAGGAAGCAGAATTGACCCAAGCTTGTGCAGTGATTACATCTGCACGTGCAACTGGGGCTGTGGCTTGTGACTGAGTTTTGGAGAGGGGTTTTTAGGCTCAACTTCCAGTTTACAGTGGAGGATTGCAGGAGCCCTCAGAGGCTATAAAGATCTGCATGAGGTTTCCTGAAAGCCTTCCATGCTTACTTGGAATCTAGATGTACAGTTCACTGGAGGGTAATTTCTCTTGCAGGTACTGGAAGAAGCACAATTTTGAAGGAATTGCTCTAGTAGAGAAAGCTCTGAAAGATGCTTATGGTCCCAGTGCACCAAGCCCAGCCTCCGCTGCACTGCGCTGGCTGTACAATCACTCCAAACTGCAGGTAAGAGCTTGAGGTGGCTGTAGCCTGCGTGGCACCCCCAGAACCAGGCAGCTGTGGCAGCACACAGGCAGCTGCCTGCAAACAGCTATCTTTTAATTGTTACATCCTGTGGGCTTGGGGTGTTGTGAAGTGAGTGTTGCTCTACGGACTCTGCCTGGAGGAGGCAGCTCTGCGTTTTCCCTCAGTATCCTGCATTCATCAGATTGGAGGAAGTGGAAGATTTTAAGTGCCAGTTACTGGGGTCTTGGCTTTCCACCCAGACAAGCTTCCCTGCAAAGAAGGAACTTCACTTTTCATCAGACTAGGATATTAATGGTTATATTCCCCACCTTCCCAAAATATTCCCGTAGCCCCTCTAAAATAGGATTTGGCAGCTTTTGAGTTGGCCTGACTTGGTAGATGTTCTGGCCTTGTGAACAGAACTCCATGGTGTCAGTTGTCAAAACATCCAGGAGTTACTGGATATTCTTTATTGGAAAGAAACGTTTAAAGTTTGGTCTGCAGTTGTGTGGGAGGTTTTCTTTTGGGATCAGTAACAACTCTTACTGCTTTCCAGGGTTCTCTGGGAGATGCAGTGATCATCGGGATGTCCAACTTGGAGCAGCTAGAGCAGAACCTTAACTACAGCGAAGAGGGTCCCCTGCTCCCACCTGTCGTGGAGGCGTTTGATAAAGCCTGGAACCTGACGGCACATGACTGCCCCAACTATTTCCGCTAGAGACTGGGGTAGGGAGGAGAAAGTGGCTGTCGGGGG